AGGGAAATGACGCCAGATGAAAACCCTGATGCACAGGGAGAGATAAAGAGCATGAGGCCAGCAGCAGTGGCTCATGCCTGTAATCCTAGAACTTTGGGAGGCCAAGTGAGAGGACTGCTTCAGCCAGGAGTTCAAGATCAGCCTACACAACAGCAAGACTGCATATCTACCAAAAAACAAAACAAAACAAAAAACCTGTGTGTGTGTGTGTGTGTGTGTGTGTATACATACATATTATATAGTAGTTGGGCATGGTGGGCCGTGCCTGTAGTCCCAGCTATTTGGGAGGCTAAGGTGGGAAAAAGTGGAGCAGGAGTGACAAAGCAAGACACTGTCTCTTTAAAAAAATATATATATTAGATATGGTTAATACATGGGTAAATGTAATAAGTATTTTAACTTCCTTAAAATAACATCACACCATGGGGTTTATAACATATGCAGAAGTAAAATATATAAGGATAGCATAAGGATGGTGGGGGAGGGATTACACTTTTATTCAATCCTTATATTTCACATGACACTGCATGGTGATGCTAAGCAGACTAATAAGTTAAACAAACATGCTGAAGCCTGTAGAGTTATCATTTAAAAACCAAAGAAGTAAAATTAAAAGTCAATAGAGGAAATAAAATGGAATACTAAAAAAATTGTGATGAACCCAAAAGAAAAAGGAAAACAAGAACAAAAAATATATATATATAAATAGAAAACAAATAGCAAGATGGCAGACTTAAATCCAATCACAGATAATTACATTAGGTTTGCATGAGTCTGACACTCCAATGAAAAGGAGAACTTGTCAGACTGGATAAAGCAAGGCCCAATTCCCTGATGTCTACAGGGATGCATTTGAAATACAGACACGCGCATGAGTAGGAAGGTCAAGCATGCAAAAAGATACGTCAAGCAATAAGGATAAGAATGTTCATGAGGCTGTATTAATAACTGAATCTTCAAAAACCACTTTTTAAGAAGTATTACCAAATACAAAGAAGGGGGAAATTATGTAATGATAAAAGGGTAAATTTATCATTCAAGACACAATTATAGATGTATGTATATCTAACAATGGAGCTTCAAAAAACATAAAACAAAAACAGTATCAGAGATATAAACAAATCTATATCACACTTGGATAAAAAAATTAAGAAGGATATAAAGGATTAGAATAATAATATTAAGCAAGTCCATCTGATATTTATAAATCTCAGCATCCAATAATTCTAGAATAAAACTCTTCTCAAGTGCATGAGGAATGTTTACCAAGATAAATCACATGCTTAAGCATAATTAAGTCCCAATAAGTTTCAAAAGACTGAAATCTTACAGAGTACATGTTCTAACCATAAAGGAATTAAATTAGAAATCAGTAATAACAAGGTATTTTTTTAAGATCTCCAAATAGAAACTGAACACTTCTAAAAACGCATGGGTTAAAGAAGAAGTAACAAGGAAAATGAGAAAATATTTTGAACTGAATGAAAATTTACATGTAAATGTATTAAAATTTGTGTTATAAAACCAGGTTTAGAGGGAAGCTTATGGTCTTAAATGTACTACAAAAGAGGAAAAGTTTTAAATTGATAATCTAAACTAAGTGAGTAGCAGGAAGAAAATAATAAAGATCAGAGCAGAAAAACAGGGAAAGTCAAACAATAGAAGAGAAAAACCTACAAAGTAAAAAGCTGGTTATGTGAAAAGATGAATAAATTGTAAACCCCAAGCAAACTAGATAAACAAAAAGTAGAATATAGAAATTTAAACTATCAGGATTAGAACAGGAGCTTTCACTATAGATCCTTGAAAAGAATGTTATGAACTTTATGCCAAAAAATCCAACAACTTAGATGAAGTGGACAGAATCCTTGAAATACACAAACTACCAAAACTGACACAAAAAGAAACAGAAAGATCTGAATAGCCTGATACTGAGACATTAAATTGTATGAAACATTTCCTACAAAGAAAATTCCAGGCCCAAATGGATTCAATGACAAATTCATTCAAACATTTAAGGAAGAAATTATACAAATGTTACATTTTATTCTTTTGGTATATAGAGGAGGAGAGAACACCTTGCAGTTTATTATGTCACATAACCCTGACATTAAAACCTGACAAGAGAAGAAAATTACAGACCAATTGCCTTAGCAGCACAGACAAAAAAATCCTTAACAAAACACTAACAAATTCAATCAAGCAATATATAAAAATAATATAATAACTGAAGTTGTATGTAAAAGAATACATCATCAGTCTTAGGAAGGTAAGGCTAATTTAACATAAAAAAAAAATTCAATACAACTCACCAAATTAAGATAAAAAAGGAGAAAAGTCTGATCACCTCAACAGATACAGAAAAAAATTTACCAAATTCAACATAATGATGAGAATTAACGACTAGCAAATGAGGAAGAGAATTCCCTCAGCCTGATAAAGGGTTTCTGTGAAAATCCTTCAACTAACATATTTTATAGATGGAAGATTGATTGCTTCCCTTCCTAAGATCAGGAAGAAGGCAAGGATGTTCACTTTTACCACTCACATTTAACATTATAAAGGATTTCTAACCCATTGCATTAAGGCAAGTGAAAGAAATAAAATGCATTAAAAACTGGAAAGAAGTAAAACCATCTTTATTTAAAAATAATGAAAAAATTTTTAACACCTTTACTGAGATATCATCCATATAAGCATAAAATTTATCTATTAAAAGTGTACAATGCAGGCCAGGCATGGTGGCTTGCGCCTGTAATCCTAGTACTTTGGGAGGCCAGGGTGGGAGGATCGTGTGAGGCCAGGAGTTCAAGTATAGCTTGAGCAACATAGTGAGACCTCATCTCCACAAAAAATAGGAAAACAAGAAAAACAAATCGTCCAGGCATGGTTATGTGGGCATGCAGTCCCAGTTACTCAGGAGGCTGAGTCAGGAGGATCATTTGAGCCAAGGAGTTTGAGGCTGTAGTGAGCTATCATGATGCCACTGCACTCTACCCATGGCAACAGAGCGAGATCTTATCTTAAGAAAACAAACAAATTAAAAAAAACAAAACCAAAAGAAAGTATACAATTTAATGATTTTAGTATATTCAGAGTTTTGCAACCTCATCACCATGATCTAAATTTTTCATCATCCTAAAAAGCAACACCATACTCATTTGCAGTCACTCCCTACCTCTCCTAGAATATAAAAATTTTAAATACCACTTACAAACAGCACAGCATCAAAGAATGTAACATACTTTGGATTCAAAGTAATCACACTTAAAAAAATTTGAAGGGGTTTTCTGTAGAAATTGACCAGTTGTTTATTATTTTATTTATTTGGAAAAGCAGAAGATTTAGAATAACTAAATGACTGTGAAAAATAACATATTTGGAGAAATTACTGTGATTTTAAGCCTTATGATAAAACTACAGTTAACAAGACAATGAGTTATTAGCCTAAAGACAAAAGAGAATCCAGAAACAGATCCATACATACACACTTTGAGGATCCCTAGTCTCAAAATCCAGAATGCCCCAAAATATGGAACTTTATGAGTGGCAACATGACACTGAAATACTCACAGGAGCATTTCGGATTTTGGATTTTTGGACTGGGAATGCCCAACTGGTAAGACATATATAATGGAGCTGAATTTTTCAGTTCCATTATAATCTTATGGGGACACCATCATATATGCAGTCTGCTGTTGACCAAAATGTCATGTGGCGCATGACTGTACATATATCCTACCAGTTCTGTCTCTCGAGAACCTTAATATACCTTGATTCTAGAATATACTAAAAATTCCCACAAATCAATAACAAAAAACACATAACTTGATAAAATTAGGCAAAAGACTTCAGCAGACACTCTACTAGAAATAATATGTATTTAATATAGGAAAATAGCATATACACACAAACACGTAAAATGGTGCTCAGCTCATCAAGTTATCAGGAAAATGAAAATTAAAACCAAGTGCTCTCTGGGAGGCCGAGGCAGGCAGATTGCTCAAGGTCAGGCAGATTGCTCAACCAGCCTGAGCAAGAGTGAGACCCCGTCTCTACTACAAATAGAAAGAAATTAATTGGCCAACTAATATATATAGAAAAAATTAGCCGGGCACGATGGTGCATGCCTATAGTCCCAGCTACTCGGGAGGCTGAGGCAGTTAGGATTGCTTGAGCCCAGGAGTTTGAGGTTGTTGTGAGCTAGGCTGATACCACGGCACTCACTTTAGCCTGGGCAACAAAGTGAGACTCTGTCTCAACAAACAAAACAAAACAAAAAAAACAAGTGCTAACAAAGATGTAGAACACCTGGAACTCTCACACACTGATGACAGGAGTAAAATGGTACAACCGCTTTGGCCAACTATTAGGCAACTTCATAGGCAGCTAAACCTAGGCCCACCCTTTGCCTTAGCAATTCTATTCCCAGGTATTTGTAAGAACATATTGCCACAAAAGGGCTTGAACTAGAATGTTCATAGCAACTACATTCATAATGGCCAAAACCTAGACTGCCCAACTGTCTAACAGGAAGATAAAAAATAAATTATGAAATATATAATAGATTCTTCCTTAGCAATAAGATACTAAAATGCACAATAACACGGGTGAATCTCAATAAACTGTGCTGAGCAAAAGAAGTCAGGACCAAGGGGATATGATCTCACTGGCTCATCACTCGGTTACCATGGAAACTAATCTACGCTGATACCAATCAGAACACCATGTGACTCAGGCTGGGGACGGACTGGAAGACAGAATGAGGCAACTAGGGTGACGCGTGTACACGTTTGTCAGAACTCACCCGTCAAGGTGTGCATATACAATGTGTGTATTTCTCTGTGCTGAGATCGTGTCTCGATACAAAACATTTTTTGAAACACAAATGCATCCAAAGCTTTCTGGAAAAATGTCAGATGGATTTGCTGAGAGTTCCAGATATGGTGTCTGTAGGCACAGACCACCTGCACAGATCAATAAAGGACAGAAGATAATACCTGTTAACTCTCCTCGGGCATTTCTCTGGCTTGATATCCAATTCATAATGATAGATGTCAATTTTGGGGATGTCCATTTCGAAGAAATTGGCCTGTAATTTGATTGTTCTCCCGGAGGTCCCAAAGTCGGGTCTAGGTGGAGGCTTGAAGGCATATCCTTGGATGGGGGGTGGCGGCGGCGCAGGAGGCGCAAGCACTGGAAAGCAGAGAGGACACCGTTAGGGACCACAGACTCCCTCAGCCCGCCCCACCCCCCTCAGACCCCAAGCCCCCACGCCCCCACTCTGGCACTTCCCTTCCTGCCTCGCCCAACACCACGTTTCCACAGAGAGCCAATTACTTACTAAAATACACTGTAATAACGCGTTAGTCACCACACTCGCTATGTGTGCATTCTTTGCATATGAGGATCTAAAAAGATGGGGCCAAAACTGTTGACGGAGTATCCTTCCTTTGTTGCTGTTTAAACCATTAATTTACACAGGAAATGCAGAAATAAACTTCATCTCAGTTCAAGTTTTGAGCTATTCCATAAGAGAAAAATTCAAACCACATCAGCTCAGCAAGCCCACGCACTCCCTTGGGGACCGACAGCTCCTCCCTACGGGGCACTGAGGTGGAACATCGACCGCATGTCCCTGTTCTCCAGTGGTGTCCGCCTACCCAGCAAGAGGAAATTTTGAGGGTGGAAACAAAGTTAAACCACAAACAGTTACATCTGTGACCCAGGAAACATCCAGTTACAAAGCCACAGAAATCTGGACCCATGGTCAGTTTCAATTTCCGAGCCAGGAACACTCTCTAAGTGGAAGAGAATAACTGTCCTTTGCTTGGCGATTGCCAGGTCACAAAGTGTGCACATGTGTCACTCAAATGAGCCTTGCAGCCATAGGACGAAGGGGTCACCGTGGAATGTGAGAACGTCAGAGGCCTGGACAGGTAGGTAGAGCAATGGCTGGTGAAGCAGAGCTGAGATGCCAGCTCCAAATCAGGCTCCTCCACCTGTCACCACCCAAAGGCCCTGGGCTTGCACCGCAGGTGATGGCTTTACTTAAATCTGACCAAGCACAGACTCAGCCCATTTCTCCGGCTGGCCCTGTTTCTCCTAAAAACCCTACTCCTTCTACAGCATTTGTAATGGGAGACAAGAAACTTGTGAACCTGCCTGTATTACTAACCTGTATTAAAAGCAAAGGGGAAACATGCAAAGGCGATTCACAAAACATATAATTTCACAAGCTATCTTCTTGCTTTTAGCTTTTAATACTGAAAATACTGACACAGGAAAGCACGTGGCATGTGAAATCACAACTTAAAGCCATAGTTCTCAAGGCAGAGGAAACAGGGGGCGGGGCCCACCTTCCACCAGCTTGGGGAAGGAGACTCTGCCACCGAAGAGAAGGAAACCTCTGCAGGCCTGAGTCCTCGGTGGCATCTTAGGTCTATTCCGATCGTTCACAGGGGTCCTGAGTGTAGCTGCCAAAACACGCTGGAGGATCAGAAGCAAAATGCTAGAGGAGAGTCCAGCAGGAGTGTGGACGGAACCCCACACTCGCACGAGGACGAGGGTGGAGTGTGCCGGTGCGAGGGCAGGCCGCTGTCCCTGCAGGGTGAGCTCCTGGCCCCGAAGGGAAATAACTACAAGATGTAAACCAAACGTACAAGAGGCCAGAAGAAGGTGTGAACGGGCACGCACGCATTCATCACATTTGACACACATGGTTTTAAAAACTAAGTCTAATATCACCCAAAGATGAGTTCTCCAAGCACTCCCTGTTGAATGAGGGAAACCCGAATAACCACCAATAGGAGGTGGCACCTGGGAGGATGTCGCCAGGGAGATGCCACTGAACTGGGTGTCCACAGAATAGCAACCCAGTCCCAAATCCCCGCTGGTGTCTTAAGACCCAACCTCCATCTCCCCGTGACTGCCAGGCCGCCCAGCCCACTCTGGTTCAAGTGATGTGCCCCAGCATCTCCACCCCCTAAGGAGAAATTCAGGTTGTCCTGTGAACACCACCTGCAACACCCAGCTCGCCTTACTGCCCCCTGGCCACAGGCAGCATGCACAGCCATGCTTCTCATATGGCAACTAATCAAACATTTTGTTTTAAATGCATTTCTGGTTGTTTCTATAAGAGTTAATCTTGCTTCTGGATCAGGGGTGGAAACCCTTGGCAGTGGGAAGGCAAATCCTTCTTTTTCATCCAGGAATTCCTGGAATGTAATATAGGCATACCTTGGAGATTGTGGGTTCGGTTGCAGACCACCGCAATAAAGTCAATATTGCAATAGAGCGAGTCAAGTGAATTTTTTGGTTTCCCAGTCCATATAAAAGTTATATCTACACAAGACATAGTCTATTAAGTGTGTAATGGTATTATGTCTTTTAAAAATGTACGTACCTTAAATACTTCATTGCTAAATATGCAGACACAGAGACACAAAGTGAGCACACGCTGTTGAAGCATGGTGCCAGGAGACTTGCTGGAGGCAGGGTTGCCACAAACCTTCAATTTGTAAAAAATGCAGTTATCTCGAAGCACAATAAACCAAGGTGTGCCTGCAGTTAGGAGGAACGCCAGCTGTTCCTGGGAGGGGCGATGACTCCTCCGGGGCACGTAGTTGGCAGCACCCCCCCTCAGCACTCTAACAACTTCTCCATTAGGCCAGGATTCCTACCTAGAGTGAGCTCCGGGGCAGAGTCCGAGGCTCAGAACCCAGCACAGCAGCAGGTACAAAACAGGTGCCAAGTGTTTACTGATTTGCTGATCACTCCACACCTTTAATATTCCATTTTTAGAGCCACATCTCAAACAGCAAAAGGGAAATGTGTAGTGAATGAGTGATCGATTTCTTGTATGAGCAACTGGGTCACAGGGACCAAAAAGTTTCAGTGTGCAGCAAACGCTGGAGGGGCGAGCTTAGGAGTAAGCCTTCTGCAGGACGAGATGGTCCTCCCACAGAAATCCCCTGGCAGGTCTGCACTGCCCTTGGCAGGCCAGGCTGGGTGAACTCTGCCCCCAAGGGCCACCTGCTGGGAATCCCCTGGCCATGGGGGTGCTCTCATCCCTAGCCCTCCTTCTAAGTAAGGGACAGGGACCAGGGAAAAGCTAGCACACAGAAGAGGAAGGTGAGGACTGCCAAGGTTCTCAAGGGGCCACATGCCTGGGTGGGGTGGGAGGGGCTGCAGAAATTCTGTGCCCCAACCCAAGAGACAGTCCTACATGATGAAAATCACCACCAGTGGCCCTTGCTAAGAACATTCTCTAGGAACTTTTGCTTATACCCAACAAACCTTCAAGAAGGGAGGGTCAACAGCCTCTCGATGGTGGGAGTTGGGCACGAGACCCTGGGGAGCTGCCACGTCTCGGGGGGGAGCGCAGGGAGCAACCTGCATGATGCCCGTGTGTGGCCTGGGCCGCCCACGGATGCCCCGGGTTCCCCAGCAGACAGGCCAGGTCGCAAGAGTCGCGTCGCTGGCACTAGAATGGCCACAGCCTCTGGCCTCACAACTGACCGGTGAAAGGGCTGGGAAAACAGTCCGCCACCCCTGGCACCACACAGGCACCAGGGGGACGGCCAAGTGGACACGTGTGCCCACCGCACCGCTGTGGGTGTGTGGCAGGAAGGCTTCAGTGAGGCAGGCCGGACCCCCCTTAGGGATCTTACAGGCTTTAGGCACAATCCGGTTTTCATGCCACTCAGAGACGAATGCTCAAACCCTAAAGGAAAATGAGTGGTTTGGGACACACTAACATGACATAAAACCACGTCAACCCCTTTCTTTTCTCCCTCTGGTCACGGATACCTTGAGATCATTTACTAGACAGCCCAGCCCTGGAACAAGAGCAGAGCAAACACTCCCCGAAAGGAGAGATGTGGTGGCACTGGGAACAGGCCCAGCGCACAGCACAGGCAGGGAGCTGCCTGGAGGGGCAGCAGGTGGGGGAACAGCCACACCAGTCCCCGCTCCAGCCCCCCCCTCCCCCGCAGGAAGGCAACCTCGCGCCTGGCTACAAGCTCCTCTGAGGGAAGGGACCTCGCCACCTTCCAGAAGGTCTCCTCTGTACACTGTCTTGTCATGGACATACCCAGGTGATGAGGGTGAGGGGGACTATCCTGGGCATGTGGCTCTGCACCTGGCTCTTTCCACTCAACCACAGATCCCGGAGCACCTTCTAAACCAGCCCCTGCGGGTGACATGCCCCTGAACAAAGGGGGCTTGCTTCTACACCCGTCGGGAGACATGACTAGGTGACTGTGTTCATATACTGTAGTTTTTTCCTTGATTACCAAAGCTTACTACAGAAGATAGAAAAAAATACAAAGAAAATAAAAATCACCCATAATGCCAGTATTCAGAGATAATTCCTGTAAAATACCAGTCTTTTTCTAGACACACATATATAATTCTGTGCACATGTGCTAACTTGGGATTAGGCAGTTTTGTGCCCTGCTTCTTGCATTTAACATTACATTATGCGCATAAAATATTCTCCAAAACACATCTCTAGTGATTGCATCACTCACTGAGTCATCACCTACTGATGCCACTTCGGTGGTTTCCAGATTTTCACTTTCAACAGTATAAATGCTTTGCTGAAGCGCCTTTGCAGAGCACCTTCACCGACACTCCTGGAGAGGAACCAGGACCCACACGAAGGTGCTGCGCGGTGCCTATCGGCCCGCCGCCCCCTGGCCACACTTCCTTCCACCAGCCGGTGCAAACACACTCTCCAGACAGCCCTGCCCTTCCCCGGTCAGGCCCCATCTCTCACCTCCACTGACTGCTGGGTCTGACCCTAGTCTGCGGGCCCTAGAACCAGCACCTTAGTCCCCAGTCCCCGCACGCATGCTGGTACTTCCTGCCCCCTAGAATGCCACGAGACACCCTGTGCATGAGGCTGAGCCCAGTGTGAGATGCTGCTGCCCACTTCTCAGCCTCCCTCCAACCTAGCCTCACACCCCAGCTCCACCACCCCGACGGCACCAGTTCACCCCACGATTTTGTGACACCCCCCCTTTTTTGATGTCCTGTGCGTCTCTGAGAAACAGGTAAACTCTTTGCCTATCACCCTCAGAACAAATGCTACACACAAAACGCTTGGCAGGTGAACTGCTAGAGTCACCGAGTTACAGCCAGCCAGCCCTACCCGCCTCTCTGCCGCGGCCTGCACCTGTGGAGCTGGCCTG